CGGCATGCTCTGGGGAGAAGGCAGGGAAGAGGTGGGGGAGGGGGGAGCTTGTCTGCCGGTGGGTGCGGAGCCTGCAGCAGGAGCCCCAAGAGCCGGCGGGACCAAGCTTCTGCCCCCGCAACTGCCCAGTCCTGGGGCTCCCTATTGTTGGGGGGCCCTGTGCCAGGGCACCCTGTGTTTCACTGTAAATACACCTCTGCATGGTGACTACTCTATGTGTTATGGAGCATGATCTGATACTTGCCAAAGAGCATCTCACAACAACTTCTACATTCAAACACAGGAGGTAGCCTAGGTCACCCAGGCTCCCATGCGCCATGTCTCTCACCTGCTCATTTCTTCACCAGTGGGCTGCAAGAATCAGCGTATACAGAGAGTTTTCACTTCTGGGCCCCTGCCAGCCCATCCCCCAAAGTGATGCTAGAGGCGTTTGCTGGGAAATTTCCTGGGAGCCTTGAGGGCCAGTCTGAAGTTGCCTGAAAACAAAGTACCTTCTGCCCCACAATACACATGCTCCACATGACTTACAGGCCCCGGTGTGTAAATCACTCTCAGTCCTGTGCTGGGAGGTGGCTGCTTCACCCGAAACCTGCCAGGGAAAAAATACAATCAGTCTGCCACCTGGAACAACTCAGGGTAGGTGGGGCCAATGGAAAGGAAAGTGGAGAATCCACAGTTCCTAAATGTGGAAATATTTCTGAGCTTCCTGCCCAAGCTCCATTCACACAGTTCTTAACAGAAACAAAGAAAATCAAACCATCGTAGTAATGGACCAAAGGTACCTAACTCCCAACAGAGCTCATTAGCCACTGCCTTCTGCCTTCGATAAAAAAATAAAGTAAATGCTCGTCCACGCTTTGTGGATACAGGAACAGGTTTTTGAATGTAACTAGTTTTTCTGGCATAAATGCTCTTGTGTCAAAACACACACAAATCTTTTTTTTCCATTTATGTGGTTTCTTATACCACTGTAATTTGGCTCACCTTGCTGTACAGGGAGAGGCAGGCCGACCCACCTTAATATCGGTCACCAGAATGCAAAGATCCAGAAGCAGCTACTGAAGTAAATGTGGATCAAGGGGCACTCCCAGGACATGGCTCAGTGCCATGCCATTGTTCCAGCAGAATTATAATCATAGAATATCAGGGCTGGAAGGGACCTCAGGAGGTCATCTAATCCAACCCCCTGCTCAAAGCAGGACCAATCCCGACAGATTTTTACCCCAGTTCCCTAAATGGCTCCCTCAGGGACTGAGCTCACAACTCTGGGTTTAGCAGGCCAATGCCAAAACCACTGAGCTATTCCTCCCCCACAATAACTCTACAGACAAAAACAAGACCTCGTGTTCCCACTGCCTGCATCTGGATTGGCTCTTTGCCACTGAGTCCACCACGGTACCCTTTGTTGTTGTGGACAGTTTGGAAGGCACCTCGCTGACCAGGGACCCTGGTGTGATGCCTTTCAAACTGTCCACCCCACATTAATATTGGTGAGCCTGCCACATTTGTCAACCAGGCTTTGCAGCACTGTGGCGAGATGCCCTTTTTGTTGTAGCAATTGGAGTTGGCAAATTTCCAGATGTCGACGCTCATCCTGTTCTCCATGCTGAGGGGAATGCGCATGGTGGTGATCTGCTGCAGCAGCACCAGAGTGAGCTCTGCACAGACCTCTAGAAAATTAGTCTTCCTCAACCTGAAGATCATCCCAGGTCTGCATCACTAGCCTGTCCTGTAGGTGTTGGCTAGCTGAACCCAGAGGGGCACTCCACCACAAAAAGCCTCACCAGGGAAATCTCATGCAGACATTAGCTGAAGAAACTGCTCCGCCGCTTCAACAATATCCCCGTGGTGCATGACTGCCAATACATGTGGAGCAGCCTGTTTGTATTAATGAATGAAAGGCTTGTGGAGCTCAGCAATCTTTGCTCCATGCTAATTGACAGCAGTTTGAAAATGGTGCTGGTTCACAAAAGCCAGATGAATTATGGGATACCACAAAAGGAGTCATGAGAGTTTGTTAGTTTGAGCCCAAGTCCCAGCCATCCAGTAGGTGTCAGACAATGCACTTTGAGAAAAATCCCAGCATGCACAGAGCTCAGTGGAGGAACAAAGTAGCTTTGGATATCCGCATAGAATGCAGTGTGGTCATTTCCAACAAGAGCTGCACTGCGCTGTGTAGATACAGTGGTTCATAGAGGAAGTAGTTTAATCTGGCATAAACAAAGCAGTGTGGACATACTCTTTTGATATAATTATACCGGTATAATTATGGCAGAAAAACATGTACTGAAAAAACTTTCCTGTCTAGACAAGAGCTTATAAAAGAAAATCCTCTCCCAGACCCAACCACTGTTCATTTTCTGAAGCAAATCAAAATGGAAGAATTAATTCAGTTATTGAATGAAGCTAAACTGATTTAAGAGAGGTTCACAGTGGTTCAAGTGCATTTACATGAAGGGTGAGCACTGTGTAAGTAAAGCAGTTCAATATTGGTTTAGTTACACTGGTGCAACTTTGCTAATATAGACCAGGCCTAAAATACAGTGGTGTCAACGTCCTACTGAGAAACAGTGATTTGCCACTGGGGGTTGGGAGTGAGGAAAGCTTCAATAGTGCGTCCTGCATTGAGGCGGAGTCGGGAAGGAGTGCTTCAATAGCACAGTGATGAGCACAATTTAAAAACCAGTTACTTATCTGGTCTATAACAGGTGTTCTTCCAGATGTGTCCAGTCCACATTAGGGGTGTGCGTGCACAGAAGCCAGAGATTTTCCCCACAGTGGTACCCATCAAAAAATGAGTACTATTAACTAGCGAAGGCTAATAACTATTTATAAAAGAATACATTAGCTTCAGAGCAAAGGGAATAATGTGTAACTGCATACAGCATGCTTGAACTACTGACTACAGGCAGACAGAAGGAACTGGGCCATTGGGGCAGCTTCGCCCTTTTTAATCCTCAGTGAGGCGCACAAGACGATGCACGGTGCATGCACTGCCCTGATGGGTACTGCTATGGCAAACATCTCCAGCTTCAGCACACTGGGCGCACACATCCCTAATGAGGAATGGACATGTGCAAGTCCTCGACAATGAGATGCTGACACAGATTGACTGGCAAGCCCATGGATCCATTATGGTCTGTGGCACAATAAACTAAAATACACACACAGAATTTCTCTCTTGTTTGGGCTGTGGTTTTGCAGCACTCTCCCGCTGTCTAGGTTGTCAGACCATGCTTGTCACCTTGGTAACACTGTCAGACTGGAAATTCTACAGCAGATTCAGGTCAATTTTTTCTAGGGGGGGAAAGTTTCCATGGGGTGGAGCGTTGAGGAGGATCGCCTGGCAACTGACTTTGAGCAGCTAGATACCAGGGCTATTAGAGGGGCTCAATGGGGGGGCTATTTGAATCAGGGAGTCTCTAAAGCAGCAGTTTGACAGTGACCCCCAGTAATATGTGTTTCTGTAATGCATTCAGCCAGGCATTGTTCATTTGCCACCTTGAATGACCCTTGTAATGATTGGTCTGCAAATGTGCTGATTGCCACTGTGTATGAATTCCAGCAGAAACCACCGTGTGTAGGACACAAATAAAGATTCATTTTATTTTAAAGAGTAAACTTTTATTACACAGGAATACATAGATTTCCATTTCCTACAAGGGGCATGTCGCTGAGGAGCACTCGCTGAATTGACGCTCTCACAGCCGTGTGTCAGTCCAGCTGTCATTCTGAAACCTTTCATGGTGACAGGTTTCAGAGTGGTAGCCGTGTTAGTCTGTATCAGCAAAAACAACGAGGAGTCCTTGTGGCACCTTAGAGACGAAAGCTTATGCCCAAATGAATTTGTTAGTCTCTAAGGTGCCACAAGGACTCCTCGTTGTTTTGATTCTGAAACCTGTCCCTCGGGGTGGAGTGCAAGGGGTACTGCGACAGGTTGGGAACTTGCAAGGAATATGTGTGGGGAATTTGGGAAGGGCATGGAACGTGGTTCTGTATGGGCTGCAGAGGAAGTCAAGAATGCTTGTGTTCTGACTACAGTGCAATCAGGGACCTCAGCATCTCTGTTTGGTCCTCCCATCAGCTTGATCATCCGCTCCTGCCCGTTTCCTCTCCTGGCTATCCATTTTTAATTTTTCATTAATTGTCTCTCTTCACGCCCTGTAATCACGATCTACAGCATCGGATGATTACAGCACTTCTTTAAACATGTCCTCCTTACTCCTCCTGGTTCACCTCCTTAGCTGGCAGAGGTGCTCCCCCTGTGTGTAGGAGGTACCCCACAAGGGCACATCTGCAGAAGCACAAGAAATGATAAATAGAGGCAGTATTGTGAGTGCACTCACAGCCTTGAATCACAACAGTCAAATACACTTCTTTCTCACTGTCCCTTGGCAAGCATGCAGCTTGGTGAGTGCCCTAAACATGGTGATTCGATGGGGAAAAGGGTCTGGGTGGTTAACAAAGGGGATCACTACAAGCGCCTAGGGGTACTATTGTAAATTCTGGCACCATTTTCCACTGGCAGGGGTGATCAAAGCTGATATCTCACTTCTCAGGGTAACCAAGGATGCAAGGGTGCATCTCCTGCATGCATGCAGCTTCAGACTGGTCCGTATGCTGTTCACCTGTGTACCACTTTGGTTCCTGCAGCAGTAATTACCAATTGGTGCAGCAAAGTTTCCTACAGCGGGGGGAAGGAACAAAGCAGCTTTGCTAAGGAACCTTCGGCAGAGGATTGCAGAGTACCTGCAGGAAAGTTTCCTAGAGCTCACTGTAGAGGATTCCCATGAAATCCTGATCTGCATTAACCAAATTTTCTGCAGGGCCCCCACTGCATAGAAGAATGGGAAGCAGACAGAAACAGTGCTAGTCTTGTTCATTTCTATCCCTTATCCCACTTCTAACATATAACAAAATAAAGGACAGCTATACCTCATGGCACTCTGCAGTATCAAATCAAAATGAGTACTTACCAGAGCTTCCTTCTCCTGCATCAGGCACCAACTGCCGGAGTGCTGTGACTGGGTAGACCCCTCCAGTCAAAAAGAGGTCCTGGCTCACCACACTACTAGACAATCTTGTCGCCTGTCCCAGATCCTCCTCCAACTCCACTTCCTTGCTCACCACTTCGCCCTCAGGGTTGACTCTGCTGTCTGCTGCCTCCAGCGCCCTAGAAGTATCCCTGGAGCTCTTGGGGATGGAAATGGGGTTGCCACCAAGGATGGCAGGTCTTCGGCACCAGAGTGACAGTTTGCCTCCCTTGCCTTCTGGTATGACTTTCTCAGCTCCTTGATCTTAGCACAGCACTGATGCGTGTCCCTTTCGTGCCACTTCTCCAACAATCTGCCCGTAAGTATCAAAGTTCCTACGGCTGGAGTGGAGCTGGGATTGCACAGCCTCTTCTCCCCACAGACCCAGCAGATCCAACAACCCCGGAGTACTTCAGGGGGGAACACATTTACTGCGGGAAGCTGGCATGGTCAGCTGGGAAGATGTGATGTAAGCTGTCCATGCTGAGCAAACAGGAAGTGGAATTTCAAAAATTCCCAGGCCTTTAAAGGGGAAGTGGTGCATGCCTGCGTACTTGGCTTCAGAGCAGTGGAGTTCAAACCGCTGACCAGAGCTGTCATGATGGGCATTGTGGAACACCTCCTGGAGGCCACTTAGGGTGACATAAGCAATTGTGATGTTCACACTGTGTCGCTCTAATTTTGTTGCAAAATCTGTGCATCTCGTCCAAGTGGTTTTATTATGTTGGCATATCAGGAGAGTTAAATCGGCAGGAGGAGAATGTAATGTGTACACCTCCACTGTTTTGCTGATGAAAGCTGACTTTTGTCAACAAAACTATTAGTGTACACAAGGCCTTAAACTGTAATCTTTAGCTTTCAGCATTAACACATTATGGAGATGAATGGGGCAGTTCACACCTCTTAGAGCTATTGTTTTAGGCCCTCTGCCGACTCAGGAAGCCAACACAGCATCATTTATACTCAGGTTACATTTTGAATGTTTTCTTTACAACCATAAGGACCAGAACATGTAGTTTAAAAAAAAAAAGTTCAGTTGTGGAGTTCAAATCCACTGCAGGGAAGTGGATAATGCAGCAAATTCTGTGGTTCTGTATTATGTAGGGCCCTGACTATGCCACACACATCAGCAGATAGGGCAGCTGCTGCAAGCCTCAAACGGGCATGTTGCAGGGTGGCTGCCACCCAAGCTCCAAGCCAGTTTGCTGCAGGGCAGTTGCCATATGCTGTGTGTATGACTTTGCTTTTAAAATGTAAGATGAAAACTTTCCCCCTTTTTGGAGCAAAATTCATTACTACACTCAACCACAGCCGCTGAGCTGCTGCCTTTCTGGAAAGAGCAGCCCCACTAACACTGAAAGCAGAGAGAGCGGCAGAGCACAGACCCAGCTAGGAAATATTGTCTACCACCTGTCTAAAGCCTGGTGCTAGTTGCTCTGAAGTGCTAAATCTACTTATGTGTTAGGAATCTGCTGTCATTCCTCTACGTACTCTGTGCTACTGCCCTCACTCTCTTGCCTAGAATTAGTTACATTTTAATCCTATTATTTCTATGATTGTGTTTTCTGTAGCCAGATGTTTTAGAATATCATTCCAATATGGAGGTGTGACGTTATTGATATAATCTGGGACCATATAGATCATTGGTGCAACCAAGGTCCTGTAGTGGCACCAAATCTTGTATAAAGGGGGTCAAATGAGGTGTCTAAGACAAGGGAGACATCCCAGACAAGTTGGTGTTAGCTTTGCCTAGCCTGCTTGATGGCCCATTAAGGACCATCAGCTATACAATTGACCCATTGAGAGAAGGCAGATACGCCTTGTAACTCAGCAAACTGTGCAGGAACTTGCTCATGTGACTCCAGACTCCATTTTGCTGTAATTTTCCACAGTAAGGACAAAGAGGTCTTCCTACACCTGGAAAAGACTATAAAAGGCTGATGCCCATTTCCATCTTGTCTTCAATCCTGCTTCATACCTCTGGAGGAACTTTGCTACAAACTGAAGCTCTGAACAAAGGACTGAATGACCCATCCCAGCTGTGGATGTACTCCAGAGACTTGATTTGAACCTGCAGTTTCTATCTACTTCTATGCTACAAGCCTGAACCAAGAACTTTGCCATTACTGTATGTAATTGATTCCATTTAACCAATTCTAACTCTCATCTCTATCTTTTTCCTTTTATGAATAAACCTTTAAATTTTAGATTCTAAAGGATTGGCAACAGCGTGATTTGTGGGTAAGATCTGATTTGTATATTAACCTGGGTCTGGGGCTTGATTCTTTGGAATCGAGAGAACCTTTTTTTTCTTTTATTGGGGTTTGGTTTTCATAACCATTCGTCCCCATAATGAGTGGCACTGGTGGTGATACTGGGAAACTGGAGTGTCTAAGGAAATTGCTTGCATGACTTATGGTTAGCCAGTGGGGTGAGACCAAAATCCTCTTTGTCTGGCTGGTTTGGTTTGCCTTAGAGGTGGAAAAACCCCAGCCTTGGGCTGTGACTGCCCTGTTTTAGCAATTTATCCTGAATTGGCACTCTCAGTTGGGTCCCGCCAGAACCAGCATCGCTACAGGAGGATTCCAAATACAAATGCCATCTGGAGTCTGATTAGCCTAGTGACACTATCAAAGAGTTTACAGCTGAGAGGAGGTGCACATTTGGCCTGCAGATGGAGTTAGGTGATGGTTTTAAAACAGGTTTAAAGACAGTTTGATCTCACCTTATGAAATCCACTCCAACATTTTTCAGAGTGACTGTGACGGCATAAGTATAACCCTCCTTCAGCACCCCAAATATCACTTTAGGTGGGATGAGATGGAATCCACAAAGATGCTGAGTTGCTGTTGCAACAGAAGATGTGTTGACTTTTCCCCCAACCAGATCTTCTACCTTTGCAAACAAGATCAATACATTACATGGGCAATAGGGGAGGGAATTAAAAACTAAATCACATAGAAGACTGTAAGTGGCAACAAAGAACTTATCCCAAGATAACAGGAAGTTGCTTATTACTAAAAGGACAGAAACTATAGCTCCCCTCCTATAACAGTGCTGACTGCCAAGTTTAATGATGCCAACTTCTTTTAATGGCTTATCTGTTATTGTCCAAACACTGACACAAGACAGTTTCTCATACAGTAACTCCTCACTTAACGTTATAGTTATGTTCCTGAAAAATGCGATTTTATGCGAAATGATGTTAAGCGAATCCAATTTCCCCATAAGAATTAATGTAAATGGGGCGGTTAGGTTCCAGGGAAATTTTTTTTGCCAGACAGAAGACATTATATACATATACAGTATAAGTTTTAAACAATTTTAAACAAACAATTTAATATTGTACACAGCAATGAATGATTGTGAAGCTTGGTTGAGGTGGAGGAGTCAGATGGTGGGATATTTCCCCGGGAATGCCTTGCTGCTAAATGATGACTGGCACTCGGCTGAGTCCTCAAGGGTTAATACGCTGTTGTAAATGTAGCCTCACATTCTACAAGGCACCATGGACTGAGGCAGGAGGGAGGAAACACAATAGATGCAGGGCAAACACTTCCCTGCAAAAACTGAACATGATGATGAGCTAACCAGCTGGAGTGCACCACTCCCTCCTCCTGACAGCACATGCATGGCTGCACAGGTGCTGACTTTCCAAAGTGCTGGGGGGTGCATGCATGAGTGAGAGAGAGAGACGTGCATTGCCCTTTAAGTACGCTGACCCCACTTCAAGTACGTTGCCCTTTTAAGCAGATAAGCTAGTTCAGCCAGGAAGCAACAGCTTCCAGCAAGCTCCCTCCTTTCTGTCCCTCTCCTCCGCTTTGTGGAGAGGGGGTATAGGGCGGGGTGCAGGAGCAGGGGGACATCCTGATATCAGCACCCCTCTCTCCCCCTCCCCCAGCAAGCAGGAAGCTCCCGGGAGCAGCTCCAAGGCAGAGGGCAGGGCAGGAGCAGCACGGCAGTGGGGGGAGGGACCCACATACCTTACAAGGAATTTAGGAGAGCTGATGGGGAGGGGGCTGCTGTTCCTCCCCCCCCACCCCCTGGTTCTAATCCCCACAAGGAGGGGCTGCTCTTCCAGAGAATCCTGCAAACAGTGGACAAAGCAGGCAGCTGCCAAACGACTGCAACTTTAAACAAGTTTGTTCCCTAATAGGTCAGCAAAGTAACAACGAAACAACATTAACCGGGACCACTTTAAGTGAGGAGTTACTGTACTTTTAAGGGGGAGAAAAAGAAAGGAAAAGCAAATGGCTATATGCAAATGATTGGGCAGCTAAGACTGTTAAAGACTAAGGCCAACATTTTCACATCTGGGATCCTAAAGTAAAGTAGGCCACCTATATTCATATTTAGGAATTTAGATAAAAATGGCCCTATTTTCAGAGGTATTGAGCCATTCAAGCCAGTGGGAATTGAGGGCACTCAGCACTCCTAAAAATCAGGGTACTTTTATTTACGTGCCTAAATATGGACCTAGGTGCTTAACTTTAGGCACCCAAGTTTGTGGCCTAATAATTCAGGGAGAAGTTGTTTCTGGGACAGTCAGCCCCAGATAAATTGCAAGTGCTATTGCTTCAGTAAAGAGAAATTCCAAAAAGTGACCAGTGTTGCTGCAGAGTGACTTAACAACAGTGTGCAAAAGAGGTGTGCAAAGGGAGATTAACATTAGCCAAGAAAATTTTAATTTACCTTTTCATTGGGTACAGATTCTGGCTTGCACCCCTGGATTGATAATGGTAATTTCACCTTCTCTTTTCTTGGCTGCTCCGCAGCATCCACCAGCAAGCTCTGGGCGTGAGACTGGAAGGGTATCCCAGATGTGCACACAGCTGTTCCCACTTCTATTCAGAAGCCAAGATTTCAAAGAGTGACATTGAATTTTGCACAAAGGGAGCCCAATTCTGCAGTTCTTGTGCAAACAGAACTCCTACTAACTTCCATAGGAGTTTGGTCTGCATAATGTCTGTAGGATCAGGCTCAGTATTTTTATTTAATAGAGCAATGTAAGAGTGGAAAGGCCATTTTTAAAATCTACTAACAGGAAACAAATATCCTGGGGCCACTGGAGAGAAAAGGGATTTTTGTCTCTTGGTCCTACTGACTTTTCTTTTTAAAAATATTGAGGAGAAAAAAAATAGATAACAGTCTTGCCAGCACAACAACTTGTGTTTGCATTTTGACTCTGGCAAGCTTTAAGAGTAAATTACTATGGTTGAGAATATCTGGTGCAAAGCCTCTGTTCCTTGCTTTACATGTCATGTGGCCTTTAACTCTGGGGGAATCTGCATAAGCAACAGGGAAAGCTTGGGAGGTTCAGCACTGGCTTCTGGGCTTAGGGCAGTTGAACTTGTACTTGGATCTCTGATATCAGAGCAGAGGGTCCTAAGCATCGGTCTACAGAGTCATTCTCACACACTCTCTCTCTCTGCCCCAATGACTATTCATTTATACACAGCACTATAGCTATATCAGCAAAACTTTTAAGTTGTAGACAAGGTTTCAGAGGCACAGAACAAAACTTGCAGCCCAGGGATATGGGATCAAGGTGGATTTAGCTCCCCTTTGAACCCTGCTGATTCTGGTCTGTGGTGAGAGTCAGTGTAGCCCCCAGAACAACGTAGGCAGTTCTCCAGCATTGAGTTATTGCAGCAGCTTTGCCCGGAATCCTAGCAGTGCTATGCACGGAGGTCTCACCCCTTTTGCCTTCAACACACCATTCCTGCTCTTGCCCCTGCCCCCAGCAAGTCCCCTATGCCAGGTCTTGGGCTGGGGGCCTTGTAGGGCAGTGTAAGTTACCTTGTGCAAAGCATGTGCCGGGGGGAAGGCTTCTGTGATCAAATCCACAGCCCTAATGGCTCTTTTATGTTGCTGCAGCCATTTTCAAGGACCATAGCAGAGGAGAGAATCCCTCCCATTATTTTCCCTAAAGTGTTAATGTATTACTACCACAGCAGACTTACATTTGGCTCCTATTCCTCTCTCCACCAGTCTTCAACCTATACCTGTACCTAGATGCCAAACTGGAATGCTCCTTTACCTGCTCTGTTGGAAACTTCAGTCTGTGCTGAAGGACGGTGTGTCCGAGGATTCAGTGAGTGTGGGGAATCACTGGTTGGGACAAACAGACCTGTAGGTTCTGCAGAAAAACAGATGAGTATATTGACAAAATGCCAGTTATATCAACGCACTACATTTCTATACAGAGGGTATTAAGCATCTTGATGAGGGAAGCCATATACTCTCTGAAGTACTGCCAGGCCTACTAATGAGTGCTGTGTGTTGCCATGTGAATGCAGCCACCAGCAACTTGCTCCATGGGGCAGCAGGGAGCAGAAATGCTGCACAGGGAGTGTGGTGAGTCATAGCCAGGAGAGCCTTGTAATGCTTTGCAGCAGAATGGCTGATTCAGCAGTGAGCTGAGAAGCTCTGCCAAGCAATCCAGTCCAGTTCTCCAGATAGCTGCAATATAGGAGGCTTGAGGGAGTGCAAAATGGGGAAATATGAGAATGATCAGGCTCTGATAGGGACCCATGGAAGATTGTTGTGACGACGTGTTCTTTGGTGTGTGATGAACAGTACAGCACAATGCCTTTCATCCTGATGGGCCAGTTCAATGCTTGCCAGGGCTGCTCTCTAAACAAAGGATCAAAGTACTCCTGTCAGCAGTGTAAACCTCTCAAATCCAAGCTGCTTAAAATGCTTTGTTCACTGCCCACCCCTCCTT